TCGTCATCATCGTCATCATCATCATCATTGTCATCACCACTGTCATCATCATCATCGTCATCATCGTCGTCATCATCATCATCATCGTCATCATCGTCATCATCATCATCATCATCGTCATCACCACTGTCATCATTATCATCATCATCGTCCTCATCGTCATCATCATCATCATCATCGTCATCACCACTGTCATCATCATTATCGTCATCATCGTCATCATCATTATCATCGTCTTTACCACTGTCATCGTCATCATCATCATCATCGTCATCACCACTGTCATCATCATCATCGTCATCACTGTCATCTTCATCAACGTCGTCATTGTCATTACCACTGTCATCATTATCATCGTCGCCATCGTCATCTCCACTGTCATTATCATCATCGTCTATGTTAGCGTCGCCATATTCATCTTTTATAACTAGAAACCGAAAAGTAAAAAAAGTGCTTGAATTACACCGTAAATTACTCTGTCAGTCCAGTATGCTTATGATAATTGAGCCATATCTGCACGTAATTAGTACTGATGAGAGCATGCATTTGCCATAAGTTAAGATTTGTATTTTTGCATCTCCTTGGTTGATTCTTTATTGGTAAGTAAGTCTGCATTTTACTTGGGAGCCAATTCGTGGACAGTTATCCCAACAACACCACATGCCTCCATTGTCCTTCAGCTAATAATGCTTGCTTCATGTTCTTTTAAATATTGAGCATAATCATAATTGGTTGTCCTCTAGCACCGACTAGCCAATGTAATCATAGCTTGCTGTTTTTATGAAAAGCGTTGCAACAATTATATCAGGGTTTTTTATTAATAGGAGAACTTCCGCACGCGGCGAATTTGAAAAGCTATATCGACGTGAGAAAATTGTTGTAATATTAGCCGTCCGTCCACACAGACTCTCGGGGAATGTAAGAGGGGACTACAAAGGAGGTGAAGGAAGTCTAAGATGAGCAGCTTTCGTTTGTCCTGGTAAAACGTTAACCAGTTTAGTGGTTACTAATAGAGTTTATGCTTTCTTCATTTTTGTTGTTGTAGTTGTTGTTGTTGTTGTTGTTTGACTAGCGACAAAAAAACTTTGAAAAATAAAAGACTCTGCTTTTAGCTTAGTCATGCCAATCAAGTCACAGATTAGGCAAAACTTTGACAGGTGTATATATTATATGTAGTCCAATTTTAATCCTTGTTTTAAATTTTATTTTTCTTTGTTTCAAACTCGTTACCATATACAAAACATACCCCACAACAAAGGAAAGTAAAAACTTAAACCTAGTAAAACTAATGGGAAAAGACAGTTCAAAACAAAACAAGATGACGACACAAAACTCTGAAAGCTTTAGTTATAGGTAAACAAGTTTCCAGATGCTGCATAGATTTTCCTCTTGAACCCACTTGTCAAATTTCTGAACAATCAGGGCACAAAAACTGGAAGTAGAACGTGACCAACGCGTGACCATAGCGAGAAAAGTAAAAAGCAACCGCCTTTCTTGTCCTGCCTGTAATAGGTGGCTGAATTTTCGAGTCAGAGGTCAGTTTCAGATCAACATTTGATATTTCGGCTCATAACACGACTCATTTTCTATACATTTCAAAAAAATGAATTTGAGCCTGCGATTATTTGAAAACTAGTAACTTGTAGGGGGATAACTTCAAAAAATACTCGACCTCGAGCTCGAAGGGCCAATTCTTGAGCCCGCGATACGGTCAGGTGATACTGGTCACAGTAAATTGATCGCAAATGGATGTGCAATAACAGGTTGCACCTGGGCTCCCAAACTAGCTAGAAAGTGTGAGATTAAACATTGGTCTCCCTGTAGTGCGGACGGACGCTCGGTCGGGCGGTCGGTCGGTG